GGGTAATTAGCTATTGAGCAATGCGAAAATTGCTGATAATACTGAGGACCTTATATATGAATGCTTAGATAGGTGTCGTATTCCTATAGGTAGATGGATCAGCTGAGAGTCAGCTGATGCGAGCTTGACTAACGTGACCTGCCAGAACTAACGCTACGCTTGATTTTACTCGCATATCTTTATTTTTTATTATCTGTATGTTGTTGTTTCTCTGTGTACTGGAAGCTTCTTTTGTCACCAAAACAAATTCCTTGTATGTGCAAATATACTTGGCAATAAAGCTCTTTCTGATTCTGGCGATTATAAAATAATAATGAAATGTTTTAAAGATTAATAATGACTAAAGATCTATCAGTATTAAAATAAATAAATAACCACCTACACATCTGCCCCCTAATAAAAAACCTCTTCAAAAGTTTACCAAGGAGACAACAGTTTCAGTGAAGAGCTTGAGAAATATAAGATGCAGTATGACAACAAATAATAAAATGGGATGGCAAAAAAAGAACAAAACGACGCTAAATATCAACATGTGTAAGCAGAATATTTTTTAATGCGTGTCATTTTCCAACTAAGCTGTAATATGTTGTACACCACACCATCCTAGACTGCATAAACTGTGCCTGTAGATTAGGTTATGGTAATGAACATGATGAATACTTACTCTGTATGTTGACAGGTCAATTCGGAGAGAGTTATGGAGCTGATCCAGCAGCCTAACAAAGCGATCTTTCTGCATTAACAGAGAGAAACATGAGTCAGTGGTGAATAAAATGTAACAAACAAAAAAGGATTGGCTGTTTCTTTCTGTGTTTTGAAAGGCAAAGTATGATTTAGTTATGGAGTAAGCAAAAACTAGCCCCACAAGATGTGTTTCTCTGACACCAGTCTCACTTTGAATGGAATCTAGACCTTGAGCCAAGGACACAGAGCGTGGACACACATACACACATGAACAAAAACATACTGCACAAACACACCACAGACAGGCTTTTGGATAAATCCGTCTGACGGCAATGAGAAAACCTGAAAGGGATTCAAAGGTTCAGGGACACTGACGAGGTCTCAGTTATTCACCATGCTGTATCTTTTCAAAATCCTTGTATGAGCAAGACTCCTACAGAAGAAGGGTCCAGTACAGGAAAAGGAGGGGATGTGAGAGTTTGTGCTGTGCACAAATCCAAGCAGCTGTATTTATGCCTTGATAGGATGAGCTGGCACGATAGCATCTTCAGCTGTGTCGTATGAGAGCCTCAGTGCATTTGGGATCAAAGGTTTTATGTGACTCTGATTATAACAATCAAACTCACTATCACTCTGTGATCAAATGTGACATTATATCTTACACAACAGGTATTTCCGGTCTTTGAATATGGCTGAGCAACATTCCAAAAGCGCTGACATTTAGTCCAACAGCACTAGTACTTTTCAATGTGTGTATCACTCCGCTTTTCTGTGTTTGCATGTTCAAGACAGATAATCAATTAGTGCGCGCATTAGCTGTGGGGATTTTTCCGATTATATCGTTCCACTACGCATCAGTATCATTAAACTACTCAGCATCTCAGACTACTGTTCAAAAATGTAGGTTTGATCGAATTTTTAAATGTTATCATATTTTACATTCAGTGATTAAAAAAACCTGTAATATTTTAGAAGAACATTACATATAATAAAATATATTTGATAATTATTTCATATTAATCTATGACTATTGTGTCTATTTTAATATATTATTATTAATATAATTAATTCCTGTGGTTTCAGCAGTCATTACTCCAGTCTTCAGGGTCACATGATCCCTCAGAAATCATTCTAATGTGCTGATTTGGTGCTCAAAACACATTTCTTATATTACCAATGCTGAAAACATTTTTGTGGAAATGGTGACACATTTTTTCAAGATGCTTTCATGAATACAAAGTTGAAAAGAATTTATTTGAACAATTATTTCAAATAGAAATCTTTTATGACAACATGTTTCTTTACTGTCACTTTATGCATGCTTATTGAATAAAATAATTAATTTCTTTTGCACATTTATACAAAAGCACAGTTGTATTCAAAATACTGTAGCTTTTCTAATAACAAGGTACTTTTTCGTTTAGTAACAAAGAAAAAGTAAAGCTACATCACTATTTTTTGTCATTGTCCTGAGCAGCTTTACTGTTGATGGACACAGGGAATAATCAAACCCTAAACTGTCCTTCGGTCAGGCTATATTGGCTGTGTGTGATGCTAAGTTAGCATTACCCTAAAGTTGGAGGCAGTGAAGCGGTCACAGGCGGAGACGTTGGTGACTGAGGTGGGATGAGCGTAGAATGCGTTGATGTTGGCCAGGAGTGTGCTCATTACCGCAGGAACACCAGGCAGCATGTATTTATGGGAAAGACATGCAAAATGCCTACAGGTGGACAGACAGACATCCAGTAAGAAACTGAGCATGCTTTTATTATTCGAAAAAAGTGACATTTACTATTATTACTTAACCGTTGCACAGTTATGTAATAATAGTAAATGTCACTTTTAAATATCTGATATTCATTTCCTTTAATAAATATGAGTACTTCTCATCTCATAAACAACAAGTCAATCCTTCTATTGTGATTCACTGCCTCTCACCAAAACAAGTCCCAGTATTGAATAGACAGAAGTCTAGGTTAGTATCGATTTATTAATCCTAATTATTTATAATTAAAGGGATAGTTCACCCAAAAATGAACATTCTGTCATTATATGCTCATGTTGTTCCAAACCCATAAGACCTTCATTCATCTTCAGAACACAAATTAAGATATTTTGGATGAAATCTGAGAGCTTTCCGACCCTGCATAGACAGCAATTCAACTACCACATTCAAGACCCAAAAACGTAGTAAGGACATCATTAAAATAGTCTATGTGACATCAGTGGTTCAACCGTAGTTTTATTACACTACGTGAATAATTTTTATGTGCAAACAAAAACAAAAAAAAATGACTTTATTCAACAATTTCTTCTCTTCCGTGTCAGTCTTCGACGTGCATTTGTACCTTTCTGGGTCTTGAACGTGGTAGTTGTGTTGCTGTCTATGCAGGGTCAGAGAGCTCTCTGATTTCATCAAAAATATCTTAATGTGTGTTCCAAAGATGAACCAAAGTCTTACAGGTTTGGAACGACATGAGGCTGAGTAATTACTACATTCCCACCATTTAAATACCTAATCAGGATTAATATGTTTAAAAGGATTAATAGGAGCATGCGCGCCGAAGGGGAAACAGGGGAACTGAATTCACCGGAATTGTAGGACCCAGGAAATAGTCCTCGTCCTCCGTAAAATGTGCTGCACACATCTGAATATTTGGGTTGAAGTGTTCTGGAACAGTGTTGTAAATACAACTTAACCACTGATTTCTAGTTGTGTCCTCTTTTGGAAGACCAAACAAAGTAGTTTCGCTTTCACAACGAAACACACAGCGTCTCCACGACATGGCGGCGGCGGCAACAATACTACAGCGAGAATCAAAGTTACGCCTTCTTTCTTTGCGTGAACATTTGTGCGGCGTTATGCAAATCTTCCCACACAGTGACGTAGACATGTTAGTAGCGTGTTTAAACGAGGCGTTTTAGGAGGGCGTGGACCAGTCTTACCTTTTATAAAGAATATCTCTTTGGGTTTGAGACTTTAGTCTTTGCAACTTTACAGATCTTATCTATTCACGAACAGCTTGTAACACTCCAAAGAGAAAGGAAAACTTGAAATCGCATCATATGACCCCTTTAAGACTGACTGATTATTGATGGGCATTGACGTGGTTACACAATGCTACCAGCAGATATTTCCTATCGACAGCAAAGGACTGTCAGAATACAGACAAAATGCTCCAGGGCTTACGTCATGGCCTGATAGATGGATTCTATTCCGTAGCGCATAGCAAATTCGTCTACAATATCCTGAGCAACCTCATCAAAGTAGACCTTCCAGGCATCATCTCCTCGTGCCGTGGGCAACTTCACCACACCTTGTCCTTCACTGTCTGTCACAAAGTGAAAAAAATTCTACAAAAAAAGAGAGGGAGAAAGAGGGTCAGTGATGTGCTTTGCAATAGAAATTATTGTGCGTTGTTTGCTTTCAAGCATATAGTAAATATATTAGATACGATTTATGTTAGGATCAGATTTTAGTAAGATTTTTTATATTTTCACAGCCTTATTCTCACCAAGGCTGCATTTGTTTGATGCAAACTTCAGTTAAAATTGTACAAAATAATTGCAATTTAATTATATTTAGTGTTTTATTATATTTTAAAATGTCATTCATTCCTGTGATGCAAAGCTGAATTTTCAGCATCATTACTCTAGTCTTAAATGTCACCTGATCCTTCAGAAATCATTCTAAAATACTGATTTGCTGCTTAGTATTTTGCATTATTTTCAATGTTGTAAACAGTTGTGCTGTTGTGGAAACCATGATACATTCTTCGATGAATAGTTCAAAACAACAGCATTTATTTCAAATAGAATTTTTGTAATTATGGTCACTTTTGAATAATTTAATGCATCCACGCTGAATAAAAGTACTTTTTTTTTTTTTTTACTTAACCCCACATTATTTGCACAGTAGTGTACACAGACATTTGTCATCTAAAAAGAATTCAAAGTGGTGTGTGCAGTGGGTTTACCTCGTGCAAACATGTGTACTGAACATGATAAGGGGCCACCTTCTCTTCCCCTTTAATTTCCACACTTATCAGCAGTCTGATGGCCCCTGATACCGCTGACTTGTCTGTGCGTTTTTCTGCAAAAGTTAGAGATAACACATGGCCATTACATATCTGATATGAACGACAATTCTTCATTTATCGCATCTCGTAATGGTGACCCTTGATCCAAGTATAGTAGTAGATGCAGTAACATTTAATCAACTTTTTTTCCAAGAGAAAACAAACAGTATCTTCAAATGTAAAGACATCAAACTCAAGATTTTACTGAATATTTCCATCAGAAACAATGTATTGTTTTAGAAACCATATTTTCTGTAACATTATTATGCAATGAGAGAAGCAGCCGTGTGGCTGTAGACCATCTGACTGACTGTAAAAGGTCCAGCGCCAATGTTCGACATATTTAATTCATTATGCAAGTTTTCATGAATAGCTAAAGCAAAATTTGGCATATTTCACAGTTAAAATCTTATCTTTGATCTAAATGCATGCAAATCATTCCATTATAAGATTTTTATGGGATCAGGCTTATTAAAACATTAAGAATATTAAATAATATATATATATTATTACAAATTACAGTTCATATCTTAGGCATAGATCATTTATGACCTGCATGGCAACTGCAACACTTAAACAGACAGATGGTTTAATTTCTAGTGTGACATACAATGGAGCCATTCAGTTTGTAGTCCTAAAACTCTTAAGAAAATTACCACTGTGGATTCCCTTGAGAATTTCTAATGGGTTTTTCAAATATCACTTTTACATTTATGAGAAAAATAAGGTCTTCATTAGCCCTTCTGGAGCAACTTCAGCTTAAATTTTTTTAACAACTTGCATTAAAGCACATGAAGGTTTCAAAATTCATGTTTGAGATGTAACAGCGTGTAATTTCTTTTGTAGAACAAAACATAAAACCTTTTCAAAATTCCAGAGGGGACCCACAGCAAATTAGACTTCAAGTTTGTCTACAAATTGACATCATGCCTGTACAGCTTTATATCAGGAGTGCTACAGTACTTTCAAAGCCCCAGAGAATAAAAAAAGATCATTTAAAAAACATTCAATAACACCCCACAATGAAACATACATAGAGGCAGAGGAACTTACCAAGGTTGTACCAGACATCCATCTCTCCGCTGAGGGTTCGGACCTCAATAATGCTCTGACCCAAAAAGTCATCAGATTCCCTCTTCAGACGCTGCTTCACACGAGACTTTATATCGTCATCTTCATCCCACACACGCAGTTTAATGCGGTCAGATGAATTGTGGCACTCACTAGGGAGGAAAAGGTACATTTGTGAACAAATCACAGCTGCTTCATAAAAGAGAGCTGTGATTTCAACAAAGTTAACAACTAATCAATATTAACACAAGTTGCTATATTTTTTTGACAACTGTAAACAGTGTACAGTTATGTTAATGAACTTAACTGTATTACTTGTAAGAATTGTTTACTGTGATTGTTATCAAAAACAAATGTATTCAATAAACTAAGTATTTGCTCATTTTCATTTGTGACCCTGGAGCACAAAACCAGTCTTAAGCCAAATATTGTCCTATCCTAACAAACCATAGATCAACGGAAAGCTTATTTATTCAGCTTTCAGATGATGTATAAATCTCAATTTCAAAAAATTGACCCTTATGACTGGTTTAGTGGTCCAGGGTCACATTTAAAAACAAATTTTAAAGGGATAGTTCACCCAAAAATGAAATTTGTGTCATGATTTACTCTTCTTCAATTGCTCCAAACCTGTATGAATTTCTTTCTTCTATTGGTAACCAAACAACCAAAAGTTGTTGGTAGCCACTGACTTACATAGTATTTATTTTTTTTAATTATGGAAGTTAATGGCTACCAGCAACTGTTTGGTTACCAACATTCTTGAAAATATCCTTGAAAATATGTTATTGCTTTTATAAAACAACAGGTTATTAAATAAAGGTAAGGCACAACATTACCGTGGTTAAGGGGGTGTTCATGCAGTTTTGTCTTACAACACTGCTTAACCATGGCAATATCACAGAAACGCACAGGATCTTTTTTAGATTATTTTATAGTTTATATTAAATATTATTGCTTCTTATCTGTTGTATTAAGCCATATTTGATTATTGGTAAAATGTAATGCAATGCAGTACTTTCTTCCTGTATAACACTCTTTAAAAGTAGTGCATACTTTACAAATTAGTGTTGTTGTTGTCTTAGGGGCCGTTTACATGACGTTTTCAGCCAAAAACAGGGAAACTTTTTATGCGTTTTGACTGTTCGTTTACACGACAGCTGCGTTTTGGGGACTGAAAACGCATATTTTTGAAAACGGGTTTCAAAGTGCAAGTTTTTAAAAACGCCACCGTTGTCGTTTCCGTGTAAACAACACCCAATACTGGAATCTTTGAAAACGGTGACGTCATGCGCATGCGTAGTATGTGTTAAGTATGTAGACATGCGCAGTACGTGTCGATTTTAAAGGCAAGCGCGAACAAACATACACAACGATAGCGGAGTACATGGTACTGTTGTTGCAGCTCAAGAGTTTGCTACCGCTTCTTCAGCAAAGTGTGGATTTACTTCACCAATATTACAACCAACAGCAGAGACGCATCATATACATCATATAATTGTCACTTCCCTACAGGTACTGTTTAATAACAAGATGACAGCGCCAACTACTGGCCTGGCATACGTAATACAGCATTTTTGTCCGTTTTCGCGGATATGTGTAAATGCGAATCGTTTTGAAAACGTTGTCGTTGTCGTGTATACGTGAAACTTTTTAAAAACGCAAGGGAAAAACTTTTCCGTTTTTGACTACATCGTTGTCGTGTAAACGTAGCCTTAGTTCTTCAAGAAAGCTCCCCATGTAAGAATTTCATTGGACTTAGTACACTGTACCCTGTACATATGACAATTAAAAACTTTGACTTGACTTTGACTTACAAGCCTGTAGCACAGAAAACTTGCCATTGAGGTCTCTTTAAAATCTTATATTAATACCTAATTATTTCTCCTAGCCTGCAATATGAGAACATGGAGAGCAAATAGACACTTTTGCTGAAGTCTCCTGCAATTTCACGTATCTCCTGTGGGGTTTGAAAAGAGAGCTCAACAATTAAACAAACTGTGATCAGATTTTCCAAAATACCAAAGTCTGTAAACAAATGTCAGAGATCCCAATACCAACCAAATTACCTGAGCTATGCTATTCAAGGTTATTTTACAGCTCTATACTCTTGTTTCTATTTTTACTTCTCCTAAGAAACCTTTGGAGAAATATCTGAGACAAGGGAGATGACATATAACAACACCTAAGCAATGCTTTCCTGACTACATTAAAAAGAAATGCTAATAAGAACACAGCAGATTAAAGACAGGATTCCAAAAGAACAAAGAGAACAGAAAATATTGTATAAGACTCACAAGTTGAACGTCTCCTCCCACACAGGGTTAAGGTTACCGTAGATGGTTTTGGTTCTCTTCTTAGTCTTGCCAACCTGAACGGTCACATACGGATCACTGGAACCAGTTCTGTCTTTAGCCTGCAGGCCCTGAGCGCTCACCACTGGAAAACACACATGAACACACAGACTCTTGTAAGATTAACCCACAATCAGTAAAAAAAAAAAAAATGGAAAAATGTATTCCAATGCTGGCACAGTGCATATTATTAAAGGCATCTGCATTTATACAACAATTCCTTGAAAATTTAGATTACTGAAAGGTATCAGAGCAATAACAGCTGTCCCTGCTTCCGTACCCGTGATGGAGATTTTGGCAGACCACTTTGATGTTCCGTCAAGCACAGTCTGTTTGATGGCCTTCATCTGCTGAGCATGGTTTAGTTTAGTCACATTGAACACAAGCCTTATAATTTCAAAGATTTCAGGCTTGTTCCTCTCTCGGATCTTCATGCGGTCCTTCATGGCCGATATGATATGCTGGGTTCTGTCCTCTGCTCCTGTTTTGGAGCTCTTCTCAGCAGCTCCTAGCAATTGTAGAGAAGTGTTTAATTATATAATTTAATCGCAAAATAAAACATGCAATAAACAAAGGGATCAAAAACATGACAAATACTGTATACTGCACGAGCGAAACTGTTTCTATTTAACATTCGTACCCTTTCGCATTTTTGTCATACATTTCATAAATTTCATAGTGCATAATCTTAAATATTTCTTACTCATTTTTACATGCTTTCTCCTCATTGAATTGGTTACTTTCATTAAAAAAGCATTTCTCAATGGCACAGATGTAACATTCATAAGGGATATTGCTCAAACAATTGTTGTATGAACACTAAAGAATTGTTTTGTTTTTGCTTGTTTTTCTGTATTTGGTTGGTGACTCACTCTGTAAACAGTCTGCGTTGAGAAGCTCCTGGCATTTTTCGTGGCATTTTACTCCACACTCTGAGCAGCGCATGCCCTGCCGCGCGATGCCCCACAACAAACCCTCACACTCGTAGCAGTAGGTAGGCGTGGTGGCCGTCCACACTTCAAAGTTATGGGGTGTCGTGCAAGAAATAGGATAAATCAGAGCCTGGAGGGTCTTCTTGTACACGTGATTCTTCTACAGAGAGAGAAAATACACTGAAAATAGTTTCTGCCAGAAACGGGCCCTAGATGCAACCCTGAAGAAGACATTTCAAAACAAACCCCAGATCACATTGTTTTTTGAAATGAAACATCATGAAGTAGTTAAAGGGGTCATTGGATGCCCATTTTCCACAAGTCGATATGATTCTTTAGGGTCTTAATGAAAAGTCTGTAACATAGTTTGGTTAAAATTTCTCAATGGTAGTGTAAAAAAACACCTTTTTTACCCTGTCAAAAACAACTCTTTTCAGAGCAAGCCGTTTTGTAGCATTTTCCTTTAAATGTTAATGAGCTCTGCTGATCCCGCCCCTCTCTTCCGAGCCGCTCTCTGCGGTACTGTTTACTTTAGTTGCATTCATCGTGAAACTAGCTAATTAGCACATTATAAGGAAAGGCGATTTGCAAAGATTCATTAAAAAACCTTATACTCACTTCTTCTGTAGGTGAAGCTGGATCACGAATGATTCGCGCAACATAGACGCATTTAGGTAGATCGGGGATGCATTCCCTTCAAAAACAAACGACTGCTATGTTCATTATTACATCCAACAACAGAACACCTCAATCGCTTAGGAGTCATTCTTGTCTACATCTGCTCCGGCAGTGAAACAATGGCGGACTG